CTTCTTGATGGATCCATTTCATCAAATCACTACGTAATGCATTTCCTCTTTCCGGTAATGAAGACTGTAAGGCGCTGCGAGGGCAAGTCTGTCTCAAATCTTTCTTGTGACAATTTCCTTCAGTTTAAGTGTATAGGGCGTGTTGTGAGGGTGACTCGGCGGGAGTGTGACTCGAAATGAAGGCGGAGTGTCGAGGGTATAGTTTGGGATTGGGCCTTAGTGCGAATTAGAGCGGAGGAGCGGGCGGAGCCAACAGTATGGAGTAAGATCGCTGTCAAAAATAACTCGTAAAAATGTACGTCAAATGTCGTTTCACAAGCATAAATTACGCTTGCGCCTCTGAAAATTCCGCTTGCTTCTGAAATTCACGCTTGCGCTTCTGAAAATTACGCTTGCTTCTGAAATTTACGCTTGCGCTTCTGAAAATTAAGAGTGGATTCTCAAGCCTGAACAACCTGTCAAAAAACGTCATTGCACGTACAAGGCATTCTCTATCGAGGAAGAAACAATCGATTTTTGTTACTACGCATGTGCCGCAAAGCTGGAAAGATGGAGAACCAACCCAACCCGCCGAATTCACAGGCATTTCTATTAGTTTACTTGTTGTTGCACAACACTTTTTCTCGGTGTACATGCAGAATGTAACAAAATGAAGGTAAAGTATGTTATACTTTATTCGTACTAATTATAGTTGGTTATTATTTATTATAATATTGTAATGACCAGACAACATGCGTAACTCAAAAGAGCACTTTAATGTACCCTGTACGGCCGCAGCCCACACCAAACTCGCAAAAGAACAGGATCCAACAGAAAAAGAACAGCAACACTTAATGTTACCCAGTGTGTGTGTGTGTGTGTGTGTATATGTATGTATGTATATATATATATATATATATATATATATATATATATATATAAAAATAAAGCTCAGGGCTGGAGTACGAGCTGGCAAGACAGCAGTAGCTGTGGGCAAGCAGGCTGGCAAGGCAAAGGCCACAGGGACGGGCAATGAGGTGAAGGCCACAGTCTGCAAACAGAACACAGCCAGGGAACTGGGTGGCAAGAAGAGCAGAACCAGGGCTTTCAGGATCCAGCAAAGCAGGGCATTTACAGCAGAGCGGCATCTCTGGAGGCGGGCAGAGCAGGCCTCACCAGTGAACAGTCACAGAAACAGTCTACCATTTATGCCCCCATTAGCAGTGGTTGGCGCTCATGGTGCATTAAGATGTCTGACATAGCACCAGGGACACGCGGTGAGGTTTCCACCCATTTCTCAGCGTCGAGTAGGTGGTTGGTGCTCTCCACCAACTCCATCTCCTCTGTCTCTGCCACATGGACTAACTCCAGTAGCCAGTCCTCCAGCTGCCTGAGGTGATCCTCCAGCTCCGGATCACTCCCACCTCTCTTTCCTCGGCATAGGTCCTGATATCTGCCCCAAAGAGCAAACCAGGTAGGAATGGGAACACTCACCTGGAGCACGGCAGTGGGGTTTGGGGTTAGGAGCATGGGCTATCCTCTTTCCCACCATAGGAGGACCAGTAAGGCATCCACTTCAGTGGAGCTATTCGTGGGCCTGCAGTCTCCTCAGGTCCATCCTCCTCTGGCTCTTCCAGGTCACTGTCACTCGGGGGGGGGGGGGGGGTCAATGAGAGGGCTATCCACAAACCACTGGGGTGTGGACACTAGAACACTGAGGGGAGGCTGGAAGCAGGCTGTAATATGGAGAGTGCTAGGCTCGCACAGAAAGCTGCTGGGCAGCTTGAGGAGTCCAGTCATTCAGTCACATCAAGGACAAGGAGGCAAAGGCAGGCAGGGGGAAAACCCAAAAGAGCACACTGGGGAGTACATGCAGGCAGCAACATGAATGACTGGACTGGGGATTATAGGACTGAAGGACGCCTTATACAGGGCACGTAAGGGAGCAGACGAGAGGCACCTGGGGTGATCCACACGAGGGCTGCAACGAGAGGTAAGATTAAACAGGCAACAGGTGTGGCTTGTTAGAGCTACACAAGGGAGAGAATGAGTGGGAAGGGATGCAGGGTGTGACAATGGTGGCTATCAGAGAGTGTGACCTCCCTGCTGAGACTGATTGGTACATCGCAGTTATGAAATCTAATACAAAAAATACATTTTTGACTGCTGTATTACTGCTTTTTCCTGGAAATTTATGGGGTCACAACATCTGATGGCAGCTATATCAAATAGTGTCCCTTCTGATCTACAGAAATGGTCTATTTTTTTGGTCACTAAACCTTTTTGTCGTGGTCTTGCTTGGCCCTAAACATAAGGCTTGAACATACTTCTGTGTTTGTGTGATTTGAAAATACTTGTAAAAATTTTTTATAAACTATTTGAAATACACCAATCATTCCCTGCTCTATCAGCATTGCTTCCAAATTAAAAGTGTGCATTCAACATACATAAGCATTCTTAAGTATTTTATAGTTCAATATATTACAATAATTAAAAACTTAAGAAGCAAAAATAGTTTTTTTTCCATTTGTTTTAGCTTATTATATTTACTTTAAAATACTAAATTTATAAGTGATATGTGAAGTCAGAATTTGTAATAGCTGCCATCAGATGTATAATCGTATAAAAATCTGATACAATGTGAAGACAACATTAGAAGTGTGTAAAAACGGTGAACATGTGGATGTGCGTGGGTGCAGCAGACCGACAGCTGGTGCAGTTGCTAGGCAATAAGGTAGGCTTTGTTTTTCTGCTACCAGTCATATATAAGCATAGACCAGGCCAGTCGTCACCATCTTACCCGTTTTAAACCATTTACGGACACAGGATGTATATACAAATATGATCGAGAAGAAAAAAGAACTGTGGTAGAAACAAAAAAAAGAAAGAAAAAAAAATGGGACAACATGTAGTGAAATGTAACCCTGGTCACTCCAAGCAGCAGGGCCTGATAAGAGAATGATAAAATATATAAAAATAACAATACAAAATAAAAAATATATGAAAAATGTTCAGCTGTACATAATCTATACCTGAGTAATAAGGTAAAAGTGATTGTGCTGTGCAATATAAGTGCAATGTGCAAGAGACCTGAGACATGTACCGACAATTTGGATAGTATGAACTGAATGTAAACAGTACTCATAGGATTATGAGCACTCGTACACAGTATGCAGAGAGTGAGGCCTGTGTTACAGTCACTGAAGAGTCACTGTAGAAGCCAGTGGAAGACCTAGGGGCACTGAGACTTGTCCTGGTTTAGGAGCCTGGGGAAAAAAAAGCTCCTCCTTGACCTTTCAGTTTTGGGCATAAGGCTGTGGAACCGTTTGCCTGAGTTCAGCAGGCAAAACAAAGAGTTATTGGGGTGGGATGGGTCCTTGAAGATTTTTGTTGCTCTGGTCCTACGGCGGCTGTTGTAAATGCCTTGTAGCTCAGCTGCTCTAACCACCCTCTGCAGTGCTTTCTGGTCCTGGACAAAGCAGTTCCCGAACCATGATGTAATGCTCATGGTCAGTATGCTCTATACAGCAGCCAAGTAGAAGGCCTTAAGGACAACAGGAGAGAACTTAAACCTCCTCAGCTGCCTCAGATGGTAGAGCTGCTGCCTCTTCTTGCTGACTAGAGCACGTGTGTGTGTGTGGACCAGGTGAGGTCCTCCTGGAGATGGACACTGAGTGTTCACCCTCTCCACTATAGCACCGTTGATGTTGACAGGTGGGTAAGAGCCACAAAACGACAGCAAATGACAAAATGCATTTCTCAGAATCAATTTCGTCCATGAAATGACTATCATTTGTATTTTTCTACAAAATGACGTTCTTCTTTCCACAAAATGCGAAGTACTGATATCAATTCTGTGCACAAAATGAAACATTCCTTTTGATTTCTGTGCAGGAAAGAAAATCTTTCTGCTTTTGTGGACAGAATGCAGAAAGGCATTTCTTGATTTAATAAATAAATAATTTTTTTTGTGGCACACAATGTATTTTTGTACATGAAAATGAGCGCTTGACATTTGGCGCCCCATACCTGACACTCTCCTGCACCATGTCTCCCTCACAAACACATCCAAGCTTTCCGGAAAGAGAAACAGCACACATAACATAGCGACTAGGTGGCCTTCCTCTGGAGACCCATAGAAGTACTGTAAATATTGGAGATTTACTAAATCTCCTCTTGGTAATAAATAGGACTTTCTGCCAGCACTACCTATGCACTAAACGATTCTGAGTTTTTCGTAACTGAATAACTTACTTTATGGCGTTTTCCAAATAAATCCCAGATCTGGCCCGATTTTGATTGGCTTCTTATTCATTCTTATTCCGTAACTGCAAACACAGTGGATGAGAATTTACACAAACACAATTTACTGCTGTGTTATCAGCTTTACTATTTGTGCTATGCCGATAACTAACCAAGCTAGTTACAGTTTGCGTAATTAAATAAGATAATCTATATGAAACTTAATCGACATGAGACGACTGAATTCCACAATGTCACTTTAACTGATTAACTGTTGGTTATCAGGTCTTCAATGAGTTAAGTTTACATACAAAGTCACACCATGATTCTGCCCTCACCACTCTCTTTACTCTTGGGTCTAGAAGTGAGCGTCTGCCTGCCGGAGCGGGAGTAGTGATGGAAAACTGCAAAAAAAAAAAAAAAAAAAAACAGCGATGTAATGTGTCAGGCACGGGCGAGAAGGGAGACAAAGATCCAAGAATGCAGGGAAAACGAGACTTTAATTAAGTCGACGGAGGACCAGCAAAGAAAGGGAATGGCTCCGCACAGCGAAGGAGTGCTGTCTCCTTAGCTAGAGCGCTGACAGAGAGCGCTGTGGGCGAGGGTGCCATCGCAAGTGCTGAAAGCCGATGGTAAGGTACAGAAGGGGCGCGCAGGAATCGGGGTCGTTGTCCGTAAGCAGGGCTGAGGGTCCCTCGTCATCCACCGGAGGCAGACTGTCCTCGGAGGCGTCAGAAACTGGTCGTAACGGGCTGTCCTTGACAGGTTTGAGGAGAGATACGTGAAACGTGGGACATATCCTGTACATGCGGGGAAGTTGCAACCTCACCGTTACTGGTCCTACTCTCCTCAGGATCCGGAATGGTCCGATATAACGGGCAGTGAGCTTCCTACACCCTGGAATCTGAAGGTTCTTCGTTGACAGCCACACACACAGCCCAGTTCTGTAGGGAAAGCCAGATAAGCGGTGACGATCAGCCTGAGCCTTATGTCGATCTGCCTGAGTACGGAGGGCCGTTTGGATCTGACACCAGGCTCGCTTGCTGTCTTGGTACCAGGTCTCCACACGTGGCACTGCTCCCGGTGGAGAATCCCAGGGGAACAGGGGAGGCTGGAATCCTAGCACGCATTGGAAAGGAGTCAATTTGGTAACCGGACTCACCTGAGAGTTAAGAGAATATTCCACCCAAATCAGATGGGAGGACCAGCCTGCCGGATCGGTCCTGCACAGCAGGCGGAGGGCTTTGGATACCTCCTGGTTAGTGCGTTCGGCTAATCCATTAGCCTGGGGATGGTAAGCAGAGGTAAGACTGAGCGATACCCATAGCTTAGAACAGAACTCCCGAAACACTCTGGACATGAACTGAGGTCCTCGATCTGACACGAGGTCCTCAGGTATGCCTGTAAAACGGAAGAGCTCGTTAAGATTTCAGCGATTTCAGGACTTAAGGTACGTGACTTACATCTAGCACAATCAGGACAGCTGTCTACAAAGGTTTGGACTTGTTGCCGCCAACCGGGCCACCAATACCGACGGGCAACAAGAAGCCGGGTCGAGGATACCCCGGGATGCCCCGTTCCAGGCTGGGCATGAATCCAACGGAGTAAATCCTGTCGATGAGAAGGTGAATCATACAGCAGATCAGGTGGGCAGCCCGCCGGGGGAGCTCGGGTCTCATTTTCTAATTTAATTGTTTCTTCTAAACCCCAGGTGATGGATGAAACAAAACACGAAGGATGCAGGACTGGGTAGGTGCATTCCGTACTTTCCGGGGGATCGAACTGTCTGGACAGATTGTCGCCTTTCACGTTCTTCTTACCAGGCAGGTAACTGACACGGAATGTGAAGCGAGCAAACCACTGAGCCCAGCGAGCTTGACAAGAGGTGAGTCGTTTGGCTGATTGCAGATGTTCTAAGTTGCGGTGATCGGTCAAAACCACGAAGGGATGCCGGGCTCCCTCTAACCAATGGCGCCACTCCTCCAAAGCCAACTTAATGGCGAGAAGTTCCCGATCACCCACCTCAGTTTCGTTCCGCAGAAGTCAGCTTGTTCGAGAAGTATGCACAAGGATGCCGCCGTCCCGTCTCAGGATCCCGCTGGATTAGGATGGCCCCCACTCCAGCCTCGGACGCGTCCACTTCCACCTCGAAAGGGAGCTCAGGTCGCGGCTGCTTCAGCACCGGGGCCATGCAGAACCCTTGTTTTAACCGGGTAAAGGCTTGATCGTCCTCAGGGATCCAGAGAAGTCGAGCAGGTTTCCCATGAGTAAGCGTGGTGAGAGGGGCAGCAATCCTGCTGAAATTCCGAATGAATCTTCGATAGAAATTGGCAAATCCGAGAAAGCGCTGTAGTTCCTTGAGGGTTCTGGGCTGCGGCCACTCCTGTATTGCCGTGATCTTTTGATCATCCATAGCAACAACACCGGGTTGGATGACGTACCCCAAGAATTTCACTGAGCTCTGGTGAAACTCGCACTTCTCCCCGTTAATGTAGAGGTTATGTTCTCTCAGCCGTTGTAACACTTGCGTGATGCACGTGAACCTGCTTAGAAGGTGAATAAATCAGAATGTCGTCGATGTAAACCACCACAAACTTGTACAACATGTCATGGAACACTCCATTCATAAAGGATTGAAAGATAGAGGGGCTATTAACCAACCCATAAGGCATCACGAGGTACTCATACTGCCTCCTACTGGTGATGAAAGACGTCTTCCATTCATCCCCATCTCGGATCCTCACCAGGTTATAAGCGCTGCGCAAGTCCAGCTTTGTGAAAATCAACGCCTCTCGGAGCTGTTCTAAGGCGGAGGGGATTAACGGGAGTGATTCTCTCCGCTTAATTGTGACGGCATTCAGGGCTCGGTAGTCCACCACTGGGCGCAGCCCCCCATCTTTCTTCTTAATGAAGAAGAAGCCAGCCATCACTGGAGAGGTGGAGGGCTGAATTATTCCCTGCTTAAGTCCCTCGCGGATGTAGGTCTCCAAAGATTCCTCCTCCTGTAACGAAACAGGGTACAGTCTGCCACGGGGTAAGGTAGCGCCATCTAAAAGATCAATGGAACAATCGTAATCCCGATGAGGAGGAATTTTAAATGTCTTTTTCTTACTAAACACCTCCTTGAAGTCTTGGTACTCCACAGGAATAACATCCAGGTTCTCCGGTTCGGGGCTTTCTATTCCTGTAGCTTTACAAGGATGAGCCATGCAATCCTGTCGACACTGTTCTGACCACGCTACAATCTCCCCGGTCCGCCACTCGAGGTGAGGGTTATGAAGAAGTTCCGGGATCGCTCTGCTTATAAAAGAGGTTAATTGTCCGTCGATGAGCTGCACCTGTCGAGCCCCGCCCCCGTGGGTGTGACATAATGAAATATGTTAATATTTTAATTTAATTTAATTTAATTTAATGTTTTTGTAAACCAGGCATCATATGTGATATTACTGGTAGATTGCAGAAAAGTTGGATTGATTGGTCAGTGGCAAGCGGTTGTATTGGTAATTAATGTGTTATCCTGCGTTCAATTATGTCTCTCTGAGTCAGAACTCGGATGAAAACATCACGAAACATCACTTCCCGTTGGAAACATGCCTCTTTTATGATGTTGATGTCGGACAGAATTTTCTTGTCCGAGTTTCCCGTGACACAATTTCAACATGGCGGGTTACACACTGAACAGTTATTCTATTTTATAAATCTTCAAAAATGTTTATTTTGTTAAATGTATTAATAGTTATAAATGTAATTGCACGTGTTTGATTTAGGGAATACCATATCATGACCGTAAACAGTATCCTAGCATGCAATATCAGATTTGTACCAGACTTGTTAGTGTCTTTGGTTTGTTTGTAGTTTGTTTGCCTCTCGAAAAAAGAAAATCACTATGAATGTACTAAATATTTGATAAAGCTTTTAATGTGGTTTGACTAGTTTGTGTTTCTTGTTCGTTTGTCTCTCGGAAAAAATAGTCACTCCAAATCTGCTAAAATACAAAGCAACAACACATAGCAGCGTGTTCATGGAGGCAGCCATGTTTGTTCCGAGATGTGGTAACTCGAATGGGAGATTGCTGGACGTGATGTCACTCAACTTGCAATTTCCGAGTTCCGAGAGAAAAACGAACGCACCATAAGACGGCATGCCGTTGATGATGTGTAATAAAAGAGATACTGCTGAATCCCACACGAGTTAGCCTCAGAGGATTTTATTAGTTAGCTATAAGAATACAACATGGTGTCAGAAGAGGTGTTTTCTTAATCCACGAGAGATGTGTGACGAGGTTGTTCTGTGCAGCAACTCTGCAGTGGACAATGCACACCCACACTGAAGCGTAATAGTCCAACAGTTTGAGCCTGCTAAACGCGCACAGAGGGAACCGAAAGCTAAGCATGGAGCAGTTCAAGCCCCTTGCAGCGCTTGTGCTCACCGGCAATATAAAAGATAAAACTGATGAACTGGTGAAAGTTGCCTTCATGCTCCACACCGTCCGAGAGGACTCCCTGGAGGTATACAATACCTTCCATGTTGAGTCTGCCAGCAACGAGCAAGCGATGTTAGAAGAGATTTTGTATGCATTCAGAAGGTATTGCACACCAAAAAGAAATATTGTGTTTTAACGCCACCAGTTCTGGTCTCAGTCCATGCCCACAGGCAGCACCGTTTATACAGTATGTTTGTGACCGAGCTTTGTCAGAAGTGCAAAAACTGCGAGTTCGGTCTGAGTGAAAACGACATGACAAGCGAGAGGCTTGTGTTCACTGTGCCTGATGCTTGAATGAAAGAGAGACTGTTAAGAAAAGCAGATTTGACCTTAGATAAGGCAGGTGCTATTTGCAGAGCTGCAAAAGCCGCTAAATCGCAAATCCTTGTAATGAGAATATGCAGCCAGATGCTTTGGTGCAGGTGATAAGCAAGGTTACGGCCACAGCGGAGAAAACAATTGCCAGGGAAATCGGAAAACCGAGGCCACGAGATATACCGCAAGCTAAAAAAGCCAGTACAAATGTGTGCAGACGATACGGAGGGACACATAAAACATGACAGTGCCCAGCTTTTGGAGCTGTATGCCACAAATGTCATAAAAGAAACCATTTTGCTAACGTGTGTGCCACATCATCGGACAAGTCAAGCTCTGTGAGAACGTCAAACTCCTTGACAGAGAGGCTGAGTCTCTATTTCATATGTCCTGTGTTGGGTTAAATCACCAGACTGACAATGCATGGCACACCACTGCTAGCATTTAAAACACTGCTGTTAAATTCAAGCAAGAAACTGGTGCTGACGTAAATGTACTGCCTATGAACATTTTTCAGAAGATACCAGGTCCCAATCATCTGAAACCCACCCAAATAGTTTCCAGAGGTACATCACATCCACACGGACCCCAAGGTGACCCCAGTAGTGCATGGTCGTAGGAAAATTCCCATCGCTGTCATGGACAGACTGAAGACAACACTGTGTGAACTTATCGACACGGAGGTCATAGAACCTGTGACCACACCCACAGAGTAGGTAAATAGCCTTGTCATCACATAACAAGAATGGGTCTCTGAGGGTATGTTTGGACCCTCGTGATCTAAATGAGGCGATTAAGAGTTAGCACTTTTCAATACCCACCCCAGATGAGGTCCTATGCAAGTAGGACCAAAAAAGACTCTACTTCCTGAGAGTTCTCAGGAAGAACAACATCGCAGAGAAACTGATGGTGTCCTTCTACCGCTGCACAGTAGAGAGCATCATGGTCTACTGTCTCTGTGCATGGTTCACCAGCTGCACAGCGGGACACAGAAAAGAGCTTCACAGGGTCATTAAGGCTGCTCAGAGGATAGTTGACTGTCCTCTCTCCTCACTTGAAGAACTTCACAGCTCCTGTTGTCTCAGGAACGCAAAGAAAATTCTTCAGGACCC